TATGAGGACTGGAGGACTGCTACCTATCTTTGTCCTCTCTCTGGGGCAGATGTGGGGGCAAGACCAGGCCAGCAGGGGCTGGTGGGCAGCAGCATGAGCTATGCCAACTAGAGGTCTGGAAGGTGTGCGGTGGGCAAGAGGATGGGCTCAGTCTTGACACGGCCAGCAAGTGGTCCAACGGGCTGCACCCGTGCAATAGTGCAGAGACACAGAGGTCAGGGCCAGAGGCGTCTTGGTGTCACAGCAGCAGTGGCACTAAGAAAACACATTTGCCACCGTGGTTCCTATGGGCAGGGGGTTGCCACCCCAGGACGCAGGCAGGAACAGGTGCCTGGGCAGACCTGACGAGCCCACGTGACACGTGCAGTTATTCCTGGGGTCTCCAGATGTGACGCTTAGGGATGTTCTGACAGCCCCAGGGACAGGCACCAGCATGAAGCTAATACAAGAGTAGAACAGAGACCCTGGAATCACAGGGCTGATGGGGGATGCATAGGCCCATGCAAACACTGGGACCAAGGCATCGGTGCACTCTGCAGGCCCCTTTCACGTGTCAGGTAAGAAGGATTGTTTGCTTCATGGACAGAAAAACAAAGAAAATCACCTATCACCCATTGGGAATTAAGATAACTCAGAAAACAAGACTTTTCATTATAGGAAGATTCTAGAGATGTGAAGCATTTAAGACTTGGGAACCCTGCTTGTCACTGTGGACAGGCTGGGTTGTGGACTCTATCATGGAGCCACCTGGCCCTGCACCCCATAGGGTGCTGCCATGCTTGTGACATGTGTGTTTCTGTATGTGTATTACACCTCAAAAAAAGGCAGACAAAACTTAACCCATTCTTGTTGCCAAACAACTCATAGGCTAAAGAAGAAATCCCAGTGGGAATTAAAAGAAATACTTAGAAGTAGAAAATACTGCAGATGCTACAAGGCAAAGCTTGCAGGATGCAGCTAAACCCATGTTTTGAGGGAAATTCATAGCCTTGGATATAAATGTTCATATTAGAAAGGAAGATAGGCTGAAGACAGATGAGCTGAGTGTCCAACTTATTTTAGGGAAGGAATACTTACCAAACTCAAAACAAGGAAAAGAGAATGGAAAGTAGAGCAGAATCCGTCGAAAAAGAAAATGAAACCACATCGGGAAAGATCATGTGGTATAAAGTGGGCTCTTTGAAAAAACTAACAAAGTAAAACCCCCCAGTGCGACTGACAAGTGCAAGGGAAGAGAATTTAAATTGTCCACTGTCCCACAGACAGTGCAGGGACTAAGAAGGGACACTGTCTACAACCAAACGCCGATGACTTAAAAAACAATTAAAAATGGGTACATTTCAGAAATATTCAGCTTACCAGAGAGCTGATTCAATGAGAAATACAAAATAGATGGACCCTGTAACTGTTAAAAATTGAGCAGCACTGAAAGAACTTCCTTCAAAGGGAACAGGTGGCCCCATAAGTAAGTGGGACCAGCCCTCCAGGAGCAGTGCGCCCTGTTGTTACATAAACCCTCCCAGGCAGGGGCAGGGGCGCTCGCACAGACTGAGAGGGCCCTGCCCCCAGTACCAGTCGGAAATGGCACGAAACCCCAGAGTAGGCACCAGCAGATCCAATGCAACAGTGCACCAAGAAGATAAGACAGCTGGCCTGGTTTCTCTAAGCAGGAAAGGATGAACTGACATTAGAAAATAAATGTGTAAGTATTAAAAATCTCAATGATCAGTTCAAAGGGTGCAGAAACATTTTCATAAAACCTAAGGTACATTCGTGATAGGACATGGCACGGAGGGCAGGCACGTAGCAAATGCCACCCTGGCTTTTCCCCCCAGAAGGGGAGAAACAGCACTTTCTGAGCCCCGTGTCCCTGAAGCAGGATGTGGGCCCGCTACACTGTGCTACCTGGCACTTTGCTGCGGCTCCTGTGGGCACAGAGCAGGATGAGAAGGGAGACGTGATGCAAAACCTTTGCACAGGCTGGTGACCTGGTCAGTTAGACAGAAAAGCTAAAGAATCTGTAAGTTATGGGAAATAACGAATGAGTTTAGCAAGGTGGATGGACATAAGATTGAGATAAAAAGTGAATTGCGTTTCCAAAGACTAGCAACAAACAAGCAGAAAAATGCAATGACAAGATGACCATCAAATTAGAATAGAAGCAGGAAATATCCAGTTCCAGAGCATAAACTAATAAGTGATATTCAAGACTCCTACAGTGAAAAAATGTTACTGAGATCTAAATAAATGAAAAGGAAGAAGTGTTTATGGAGAAGAACTTATAATGACTGAATTCTCCCCAAAGTGACGGACAGATTCAATAGAGGTGTTTTTTTAATGTTTATTTATTTATTTTGAGAGAGAGAGAGTGGGGGGGGGTGGTAGAGAGAGAGGGAGAGAGAATCCCAAGCAGGCTCTGTGCTGTCATCACAGAGCCCAACGTGGGGCTTGATCCCATGAACAGCGAGATCGTGACCTGAGCCGAAACCAAGAGTTAGACACCCAACCGACTGAGCCCCCCAGACGCCCCTTGATTCAGCAGAGGATTTTGTGGAACCTGATAGCTAATTCTCAGATTGACGTGCAAGAGTGAAGGCTGAGCAGAGTCAGAACACTTGAAAAAGGACAGGAGCGGATGCCCAGCCGGGAGGGCTGGGTCTGGGGCAGGGGCCGGGAGCACGGAGCCGGGAAGCCCACCCTGCTGTCCAGAGCTGGGTGCACAGCGGCTGTGGCCAGCATCGGGGTTGGCACGTCCAGGAGCGGGTATCCACAGGGAAACGCATAAAACTGGGCCCTTACCTCAGCTACAGAAAAAAGTCAATTATGTACAAATTATGAACATGTCTCTGTTAGACCTTGGGGGTGGCGAGGTTTCTTAAGGTACAACAAGTACTAACAACGAGAGAAAACATGAATAAATTTGACTATATTAAGGCTGAGAGGAGATTATACTAAGGCAGGAGACCTCCAAGGGGCCCCTCCTGGGGCGAACGGTTTTCAGGGTGACTGGGTCATGCTCTTTGCCGCCTCTGTGTCGTGCGGTCCGAGCGCACCCTGGACCCTCCGGGGTACACCCGCGGTGCCATCGCAACAGGCCGCACGCTGCCGTGGAAACCACGCTGGCTTCCACAGAGCAGGGCGCTACGGGGCTTGCAGATGTGTGAAACAGCCCCACTCTTCTCACTGTTTTCTTGGGAAAATGCTGCTATTGCTAATAGAAATACGTCCTGTGTGTCAACAGGCAGCAGTTTAATGCTATTTTTAAGTGAATTACTAGGTAACCGCTTCCCACGTCTCAGCCCTGGTCTACACCACGGACCGGTGGGCGTAACCCGCACAAACAGAAGCTCTCTGGCTCTGGCTGCTCTGAGATTTGCAGGGGCGTAAAGGGGTCCCGAGAGCCAAAGAGGCTGAGAGCCGCTCGCTGCCTTAAAGACGGTGTGAAGACAAGTTACAGACGAGACCTTTACGGTCCCGGCAAGACGGTGAGACTCTGAAGAAAAGCACGAGGAGACGGGCCTGCGGGCGGCCAGAGCGCACGTGTGGCCGCTGCGTCGCTGGGCTCACGCCCCGGAGGAGCTGCGGCCCAGACCCACGGAGAAGGCGCAGCGCGGGCGGAGAGGCTCGCTACTTCACAGGGGTGACAATGACAGCGCGCGTGGTCCGATGAATCTTCGCGGAAGTGCGTAAAAGGAAGTTCCAGAGGATGGCACGCATCGCAGCTGATGCTCGTTTTAGAATGTTAAAAACAGCGCGAACGAAACGATACTGCTTTTAGGCACAGAACCGCGAGGGGACAGGGAAGGAGTGCAAGAGCCTGGCCGGCGGACCGGGGGCGGGGGCGGAGGACATCACTACTTTCTGGGCTTTAGTGTCGTGTCCGGTTCGATTCTAAAGATGCAGTGAAGGGGCGCCCGGGTGGCTCAGTCAGTTCAGCATCTGACTCCAGCTCAGGTCATGATCTCGAAGTCCGTGCGTTCGAGCCCCGCGTCAGGCTCTGCGCTGACACCTCAGAGTCTAGAGCTGCTTCTGATTCTGTGTCTCCCTCTTTCTCTGCCCCTCCCCTGTTCCTTCTTTCTATCTATCTATCTATCTCTCAAAATAAAATAAAATAAAATAAAATAAAATAATAAAATAAAATAAACATTAAAGATGCAGTGAAAAGGCAGAAGCCTGGGCACAGACCAGGGACGGGAACGGCCACAAACGGAAGGGCACGCGGACCTGGTGCTGACCCTTCAGGGAAGCCAGGGACCTGACCTACCAGCGACTCGGGCCTGCGTCCTGCTGCCAGCGGAGCTGGGACAAAGGCCTCTCTCTCAGCGAGGGGCTGGGTTCCAGCTTATTTTAAAGGAAAATTGAGCATAGGAGGAGCCAATCCTAAAACTCTCATTTGGGGGTGAAAACGTAACCTAATGTCACTAAGCTAATGTGTTTTCATCTACAGTTTTGAGTTTGTAACTAAACACTTACTTGTTAACAAGTGATTTCGTTTTCTCCACTGTCTTAGGGGCCGGGGCTCTGCGGAAAGCTGGGCTCTCCAGCCCTTCCTTCGTGCCCGACCCGGACCTCCCGCACCTGCACACAGCAGGGCCCCGGGGTCCATTCTAAGGATTGGGGGGGGGGCCCGGGGGGCCTTGGTGATGCTGGCCCACAGCAACCTGCTGTGGCTGCTGCTCCCGCTGGGGACTGATGCTTCAGAGGCCACGTGTTTCCTCTGGGTGCCACGACCCACCCTCCGCTAATTCTCCCCGAGAAACTGTGACTCCCCGCCAGCCGCCACTGCCAGTTCCAGACGCTTTTAGCAAGTTAAATCTAGTAAATTCGCACTCGGGAGACATACTCTACAGCTGTCATGACAAGCGCACATCCAGACAGCAAGCCATCACCAGAGCCGAGCTGCCCCATCGGGACCCTGAGTCTGACAAAGGTGGGTGTCCCAAGACAGCCCCCCCGACCCTGCACAGAGGTGCCCCAGCCCCAGTGGCCTGGCCACCCACCTCAAAGGTGTTCCCGGTCACATCGAACTCTGGGGGAACAAAGGCACCCTCGGGGTCATCTGGGGACGGAAGAGAGAAGGCTCTGGTCACACGCCCACAACGCCCAGGGTGAAGAGAGACCCGCCAGCCCGGAGGGAGGCGCGTCACCTCCTGCTTCCCGGGGGCCGATGGCTCTCTCCCGACCCCCTTCTGTCCCCGCGTCCCTGAGGAAACAGCGGTTGAGAGGGAAAACCTCACTCTTCACTGTTAAGTGTGGGGAAATGGTCCCAAGAGCACAGTGGCGGGGAGGGGAGGCCACGGGAACACTGGAGGCGGATGTCAGGCGGCCTCCTGTGCCCGCTACGACGCCCTCTGCACGTGCACTCCCTGTGGGCCAGCAGGACCAGATGCCTCGGAGCTGGCAGCCCCCGGCTCGTCCCTGCGGGGACCACGTGAACCGTGCACGAGGGCCCTCCCGCCTCCTTCTCCCTCAGCGGTCCTCGGGGCTGGAGATCCCACCAGGGCACCAGGGAGGCCTGGGCTCTGTTGCTCTGGGCCAGCCCAGGGCGCCCGTGTCCACACTGTGCCCCAAAGCTACCTTCCGCGGCCCACCCCTGCTGCCCCGCCCCGGGCTCACCGCTGAGCAGCTCCATGAAGCACACGTTCCCGCTGGCGTTGAAAGCCAGGGTGTCAGGCGTGATGCAGAGGGTCTGGAAGATGGCCGCGTGGGCAACGCTCCTCATGGACAGGCTGCACTCCAGGCACACGGCCCACGCTTCCTGCTCGCTGAGGCCGCTGTCCCGCAGCGACAGGATGTCGGCCAGGGACACGTTCTCCTGCCAAGACAGGCCGCGGCTGAGACGGGTCTGGGGACGGGCCCAGGCCGCCGTAGGGCCCCCTCCCCAGGGAAGGCCCGGCACCCCCACGTCGAGACCGATTCCAGGGAAGCAGACAGCACGCGGCGACGGTTCACTTTACGTCAGAAACAGGGTTGTAGGCAAAGGCTTTTTAAGGAAAAACAACAAACCCAGAATGTCACCCAGCCCACTGTCCCCTGTGGCCAGAAGCCACAGAGTATTTGGCAAAATGACCAGCATATCATTGGGAACAGGTGTTACTCCTGCGGTCGGGACCTAGTTCTTTGTCCCAGAATTTCTGGCCGCCCCACAGCCCCCTGGAGGAGGCACCCGGCCCACAGGCTCACCACCCGTGGCTCGGTGGGCACACCGAGGGCTTTCAGGTCGTAAGCAAGACGTGGGCACCAGTGGAGACGAGCCGACGTGTACAAATGCACGGTGTGCGGGAAGCCCGTAGCAGAGCAGGTGCTCCAGGCGGTGCACGGAGGACCCAGGTCAAGGGGCTTTCTCTTGCAGGCCAGACCCCAGGCCTCCCGGTGCTGGGCTCAGCATTCACATCCGACTAGACTCCGCTGTGACTACGTCACCAGCACACACACACGCACTCCGAATGTATGCACGTCGGACACCTGCACGCTGTCAGACACGCACACACCTCCCTTGTGCATGCACGCACGTGGGTTTACACCAACATGTGCACTCACATGCACACATGCAAATCACACATGTACCAACACGCTCATAAAATGAGTTGATGTGTCCTCAGTGGTCAGGCATATGCCACACAGTCTCACACACGCTCAGATACCCATACTTTCACTTAAATGCACACTTGTGCAATCCCGAGTCACACACACCCACATACATTCACACATATGCTATACACACCCTCACACGTGCACAACATACCTGTATGCACACACTCAGACCCATACGTGCACCCTGAGTGTGCACACACACACTGCCACACGTCAGACACCTTGGATCTCGAGGCCCTAATCTGGCCTGCTGTTCAATGCCCTAGTCACCTCTGTGCGTCTGTGGGACTGTGTTCCACCGGCCCTCGGGAGGGAGGAGCTCAGGGAGCCAGGCTGGGCGCTGGAGCCTGCAGGAAGCATGTGCGTGGGGTCAGGAGAGGAGGTGGAGGGTGGGGGAGATGGTGTAGAAGAGAGACGGAGCCCCCTCCTTCTCCAGCCTCAGCTGCCCACCCCTCACAGCATACCGGAGTGTTCTCCCCATGTGGCCAAGCCCTCCAATCCTGGAAAGTCTCCTAGCTCCTGCCCTTGAATTTCCCCCATTTGTATTGCAAGGAATCCCCACAACCACAGACAAAGGGGACAAAGAGCTTAAGCCAAGAAAGAGAAAGAGAAAGAAGGAAAGAAAGAAAGAAAGAAAAAGAAGGAAAGAAAGAGAAAGAAAGAAAGAAAGAAAGAGAAAGAAAGAAAGAAAGAAAGAAAGAAAGGAAGGAAGGAAGGAAGGAAGGAAGAAAGAAGAAAGAAAAATCAGGGACTGGCCCCCACGGGCACCTTGGCCAAACCTCTGGGGTTCAGCAGTGCAGGTGACAGGAGGGGACCCGGGCCTGGGCTGCCTGTGCCCATGTGACTTGGCACATCCCACCATCTGCTTCCTCCTCAGAGCTCAGCACAGGCCTCCACGTCACTCCCCAGGCCCTTCCGGCTCTTTCTGTGGGGTAGATGGATGAGGGAAGGGCAGCCAGCCCATCGGAAGCTGGTTCAAGAAGACGGGGCTACGGGGTTCACCCACATCCAAGTCAGAGCTGCCAGCCAGGTTCCAGAAATGCGTGCAGCCCTGTGATGAAGGTGGTCTGGGAGTTTTCAAAGGAGAACAAGGGCACAAAGCGGAGCACAGGATTAGACTCGGGCGTGGAGGAGGCTGGCAAACCTGAAAATCTGAATTTCCCAGCCTCTGAGGTCCACGGATGAAAGGTCTGTCTGATCTGGCTCAGTCTAGGGCCCTCGCTGCAGCACGTGGGCTCCCCAGGACGCAGGAGAGCCCAGGGATGCTCACGGGGCCTCGTTAAAGAGGCGTCTTGGCAGTGTGTACGTGCACACACAGCACACACGCGTGCACACGCACATGCACGCGACCACACAAGTAGACACACACTAACCGACAACCCAAAGCCTGGGTTTACGCTCCTGAGGAGAACGAAGCCCACGACCCGAGCGTGAGCCGGTCCCACCGCAGGCACCTTGTTGATGCTGTGCTCGCGGTGTCTGCACGGGCTGCAGGCACCAGCTTGCGCGGGTGTTGACTGAATGTGCCGCCAGGAGAAGGGAGCCCAGGTCGGGTGCTCCCCGGGGGCATATCACGGCCCAGAGCCTGACTTCCTGTTCAGGTCGAGGGCCCCCGGCCCAGCTGGAAGATGCCCCGTGAGCGGGGAGGCCCCTAACCCCCAGTGCCTGTTCACGGTGGGGGCATCTGGGGGGGGGGGGGGGGGGGGGGCGGATTCTCTGTGCGACTTTACGGGGTGGATTCCGTGGGTCATTGCTTCCGGCACACGGCGGAAGCTGCCACTCGCGGACAAGATGCTCTCAGCCCCTCCAAAGCCCAGCTGTTGCAACGGGAGGGCACGATTCAGCTGACACACGGTTCCAGGGCAGGGCTGAGATGTGCCGCTGGTTCCCATACACCAGCACGGTGGCGGGGGGGTCACCAAGTGCTGGGGGACCCTGACCCACGGCCTCCCTGGTCACCTGTCCTCTGGGGCCTGCCACCCACCCTTCCGCTCCGCCTGCTCCGGCCCTGGCTGTTGGAATGACCCTCCCTTGCCTGAACCCACGGCCCAAGGAGGGCAGAAGGGCTGAGGCTTGGCTAATGGGCCGGGCAGGGGTGAGAGACGGGGAAGCCCGTGCCAGCCACTCTGCTCCCTCAGCGCACGTCCCCACCAGAACCCCCAGCCACCTTGACAGACAAGAGCCACGTGGGCATCCTGCACGTCTGTGCCCATCTCCGGGTCCTGTGGGCTCTGAGCCTTGCTGCCAGGTGGGCCCGGATCCGGATACCACGGGCCCCAGGGCAGGACTCGCGGCTCCACTGGCCGCGGCAACGTTTCGGAAGGAGGTGACGGGCTGGGAACAGAAACACCGGCCACAGCTCCCACTGATGCCTGTCTGTAGTCCCCCGTCCAGCGCAGCCACAGACCCGCACCCGTGAGGGCCTGTGACAGGCCGGAGGGTTCGTGGCCTCCCACGCTGCAGCCGTCCCCTGCCATTGCCAGCGTGACCTGACCTTGTCGCTGCTGGGCAGCCTCTGGTGGCTCTACCTCTCGGGTACAGACCCAGACTTCAGCGCAGGCCCAGAAGGTTCTTCAAAACCCAGTAGAGCCCACGGGGCCTGGAACCCCACCCCTCACTGTTGGCCAGCAAGGTGCTGCCTTGGCTGTGAGCAGGCCTGTGAGCTGTCCTTCCCTAGCGATTGTGCAGACACAAACCCTGTCCTGTCCAGGCTGGGAGGAGGGGAGCTCCTCAGGGAGGCTGGTCCCCAGGGAAGCCCCTCGCCAGCCACAGGGCAGGGCTGGCTTCCCACCTGACCACGCTTGTCTGGTTATAGCAAAGTGGGTCCATCCAGGAGCTTCTGTGCCTCGAAGACCCCCCACCCCATCAGAGATAACCCTGTGAGTCAGGGTTACGTGGGGACCCACAGGGACCGTGGATGGTTATTGTCCATTTCAAACATACTCTCGTATGTTACTTTTCTCAACCCTGGAGCATCGTGATGGGAACCCCCAACAGAAACCCAAATCAGTGCTGAGGACACTTGTGGACAATCTCGGGGCCTGCTGGCAGCTTGGAGGAAGCTGGGGAGGTCTGCATAGTACCCCGTTGGGGGTGCTTGCCCTAAAGCGCCCCCCTCCAACTCCGGACTGTCACCCAGCACGAAGCTGTCCTCACCTCCCCAGTCGCCTGCTGCTCTGTGTCGTCTGGGTGGGGTCATCACGTGGACCCGGAGGGCCCAGTGGGAATATCTGTTTCTTCACAGGGCACCCACAGCCGTGGGTGCCTCCGGGCAGCACAGGCTGCCCCCCACCCACCTTCACATCCCTGGGCCCAGCCTGGCGCCCAGTGCATGGATGCTGGGGAGATGCTCACAGAACCCGGAAGGGATAGGAAAGCCCCCTACACCGCAGGGAAGTCTAGAAACCCGGAGATGCCCTGCCCCGGTGCCAACTTCACCTCCAAGTCTGCCCTGTCCTTGTCCCCTGGAGGCTCCTGAAGGCGACATCACCTGCCTCCAGAAGGCCTGGCATCTGCCCCTCCGGCAGCCGCTGCTCTGCCTGGTCCCTCATCCTGACCTTTGCTGCGACCAGTGCAGCGGGACAGGTGGGGCGACAGCCCCCAGGGCCTCAGGCCCGCTCACCACGGGCCCGGGTGGTTTGCAGCTGAGAGAACCCTCCGGGGCACACACCCAGAGTAGAAGCGCTGGGACACTGCCACCAGCAAGGGGTCTGCCACCATGCCTGTCCCTGCTAACGTGGCCACCGTACAGTCTTTCAGTTCTTGCCATCTAGCACTCGCGGACAGGTGTTCACGGCGGTGTATTTTGCGTTCCTTGATACTGATGAAGGCAAACATTTTTCATGTGTTCACTGGCCATTTGGATTTTCCCTGAGGTTACAACCAGGGAAGGACATTCCCTGGGGCTCGTGGGGAGTCCTGGCCTGTCGTGCAGTCTGCTGTTATAATCAGCTATAAAAATGGTAATTCCCATGTCTTGTGCAGTCTGTCCATGTCCTGGGTCTGGCACCCACCACCCCTCCATGGGTGAGAAGATGCCCCGTGTCTTCTCTGTCCTGGCTCTTTCCGGGGTTTCTGTCAGTATGGGTGATGTTGCAGTCTGGCTACCCCCTCACCTTACACGGGATGGCTTTTTAGGTGCAACCTGACGCCATAATGTTAGCAGGTGCAGTCACACGACTCTGATGGGGATTGAAAACCTTCAACACCAACCGAGTTGAATGAATGCAGGAAGCATAAAGTCTGGATCAGGTGTGTTCACAGGCACAGGACATTGGTCTGGCTCCAAGGCTTGAGCTGGACAGGCTTCCTATTTTACGGGAGCATGCCCAAAGACAGTGCCTGTCTCCCCCAAAAGGTGAAAGAAGTTTGGAGGGCTCATCTGAGCTTTCCCAATGGTTGCTACTAACCCAGTGGCATCCCACTTCATCTGGAGGCCTCGGTCACAGGACGATGGGAACCCCGCAGCCGTATGCCCTGTGCACAGCTAGGGGGCTGCTCCAACCCAGAAGGGCACCAGGGAACCCTCCAACCCGGCGAAGGCAGCAGGGCCACGGGGATACAGACCGTGGGCGGGGATCCGGCTCTGGCTCTGAATCCCGGCTCTGCTGTTGTTTGGCGCCAGCCACAGGGCACGAAGGAGGCCCTAAGAGGATGGGGTCGCTGATGCAAAGAGCCACGTTCTCCATCTGCTTTGGATGGTGACTTAGGAGGTGAGTCTTCTAACAGACACACTGAAATGTGTCCTCTGGGGGAGATTTTGAAGGCTGTGGGCTGGGCGCACCCTTTCTTTTTGCATCAAAGCCATGGAAATGCCCAGAGGTTTATTTATTCTCTAGCTTTCCCTCTCTGCAGCCTCGTCTCTCACCAAATCCAGGCCACCATGGCGGGGGGGGGGGGGGGGGGGGGGCGGGCCACACCAACCCTCGGGTCCGGCCTCAGCGGCTCTTGGCAGGCCAGCCACGGGGTTCCCACGGCAGGCTCTGCTCCCCAGAAGGACAGGGCCACCATGTCATGAACCCTGCCCTTAACAGCCAGCCTTCTTGCAAAAGTGTGTGTGGGGGGATGGCAGGCAGAAGGCAGAGGGCCCTAGGGGCTGTGGCTAGGTCCTTAGGAACCCCCTTATCTGCTCTAGGAGGGTGGTGGCCGTGTCTAACTCTTGGCCACCAGTCTCGCCCACGTGGGCACTGGAGGGTCCTCATCAGCAACGTGCCGGTTACAGCCCGTTCCATGGATGGTTGCATGATGCCAGGATCCCTCCACAGTGAGCACAGAAGCCCAGGGATTGGGGCATCTGCCTGCTTGGAGGCTTGGAAGGCCCTCCTTTGCCAAGACTCCAGAGCCTTGGGTCTTCCTGGGAGTGGCTGCCTTCTCGGGGGGCCACCTATCACATGGAGGGACCCGGCTTACTGATTTGGCCCCAGGCCTCAGCCTGCGGGTGCCGTGGGGAAGCAAGAGGTGCAGGCAAATCGGTTCTGTGGGCACCTGTCCAGTTAATGACCAGAAGCTCTATGTGGCGGAGACTGCTGGTCCCTCTGAGCCTTGGGAGGGGGGATGCTTCGGGACTCTGGATGCTGGGCGGAGGCCTCTGCTGTTCTGTGTGCAGGCAGCAGCCCTCAGTCCCGGGGGCTCCCCCGCCCCCCCACCCAGCTCCTGAGCAGGCCGGCCTGATTGCGCTCTGCTGGCCAGTGCCTCCCACTGACCTCCTAGGGTGCCGGCAGGGAGGAGGACAGTGCTCCACCCCCTCCCGCTCACGACGCCCCACCCCACACTCATCCATCCAACGTTTATAATCAGGAGCCCCCACCCTCACCGCGGAAGGACCCAACTTCTTCAGTGACCACCCACCCACTGCTGTCCCGTGGGGCTGACATTCCAAGGGTCCTGTCCTCTCAAAGCGAAAATGTTAAGGCTGACGGGGCGTTGCTGAGGGCGGCCTCCAAGACCTGGGCCAGGGGCAGGGGTCCTGGGAGCGGGGGCACCCCCCCTCGGACTCTCCCTAGGAGCAGGTGGGGGGAGGCGGGGCCCACCGCGCCCGTGCTCACCTCGTCCTCCGGCAGAGTGGGGAGCGGCTCGAAGTCGTAGCCCGCTAGGTCCTTGCCGTCCTCCTCGTACAAATCCGCCACGGCCGCGTCCATGGCCTGCATCGTGCGGGCGCGCGGGGGGCGCCTCGGACTCGGCCAGCGCTGGGGCCTCGCGCTCCGGCCGGCGCCCCTGCCCCGCCGCGCCCGTCCG